GTACAGTCCGTTTGGGCTAAAAATATTTAAAAACAGTATATCTTTAGGATTTCAGATAGATAGTTTCGCGCGCTGGATATGATTTTTTTGGCAGTGTTGCCATTGCTCGCTTTCAAATCGTTGAGTTAATTAATCAAAAATTCGTTAAAGTTTTACAAAATGTGAAAAAAAAATTGTAATTTCTAAATTTGGGTTTCCAAGTATCAATGCTTGGGTGGAGGACTTCGTTATTCAAAATTTAATGGCTCAAGCTCCGTTGTTTTTTCACAATGCGGAAATCATACATACATTCATGTAGATTATTCATTATTTAATTTCTTTAAATATAATACAGAGTGATAATATCTGGTGGCAACAAGCCCAAAATCGTTTCGAGACACATAGCTCTTCTGGGCTAACGCTCCTTTGGGCCACTAAATTTCATAAATTTTTCATAGATTTTCATACGTTTATAACTAGATCAATGCTGTTTATGATTCTGAGAATTTCTTTGCATTCGATAAAACCCCCTGGCATTAACTTTTAGCTTTTTCTCGTGAGAAGATAAGAAAATAATTTCAAGTGTGCAAGCTATTAATTTTTCATGATTGAAATTATTATTTTCTTATTATTATGAATTATTCAAGTTATTATTATTATCTAGTCATAACACTACAAAATTTAGCATGAGTTCGGAGTATTGAGGTATCTTCGTGTGAGCTTGGCTCATCGCTTCTTGGTAATTTGGAATGTAACTACTGATTGTGCTCTGTAATACTGAGAAAAGCTGTACGAGTGCTTTTGTGAAAAGTGCCAAACTTGTAAAGTGCTTCTTTCGGTGAAAATCAATTCTATCAAGCAATTATCGGTTCTGAGTGCATTCAATCTACTATTACAAACCCAAAAGCACGCAACAGTATAATAACGTTTATAATGCATATAACAACGTTTAAAGCACAAATAGAGTTAATCAACAACATATTTTGTAAACAGAAAGGATTTAAGCAATATGAGCCATATTGTAATACTGCGTCTGAATTTTTATTGATTTTTTAACCGTTGTCTTCTTTTCTGCGAATTTGGTTATCTTAGTTTTTACATGAAGCAAAGTTTTGATATAATTTTTATGCCAAAAAATATTTATAATCTTAAACACAATAATAAATTTTCTATAACGCATTCTAAATGAAGAAAAAATAATAATACCTTTCAGATTCATCAAAATTAAATAAATAAAAATTGTCATGGATGACCTTCTTTTCTCTCTGAATGGCACGAGACATGAAAACAGTTTAGTGATTCTTGGAACAGTTTGTATGTTTTTTAAATGACAGTATCATTTTGTCATATAACGAAATTATAATCATTTGATGAAGACTGCCACAGAGCGTGAAGAAACAAACCAGTAACTAAAGGCAGAAAATAGTCGATAAACAAGGTCAAACACGCTCCTATAAAAAAGTCGCCCACTTAACCTTTAAAACAAAATACACTTATTAAAAAAATACATAGTTCTGTTTTTGATTGACCGCTATAGTTGGAGCAAACAATATCACAAAAGTCTTATTTTTTCAAGGAATTTGAAGAAATGACATGTGACATAAACAATATGCGTTGAAGAAAACGAAATAACAATTCTGTCAGTGAAAATATTTCGTGAATTAAATTCAATTATATATTTCTCCAGTTTCCTGTCATTCATCATCTTTTGCAGCCCAAAATAACAAAATACTGGGCTGAAAATTTATTGCTACTCAAGAAGACTGTTTATTTGTCAGTCTAATTCCACAGTGTATTAATTTCTTGTCTTCTTTCTTTGACACTGTTGACGACGTGAGTTACATTTCTTCATTCTTTTCTATTCTTCTCTTTGAAATGTCTTCAACACACTGCGAAGCACGGAGTTCTTTTGCCTTGAAAATCACAATAGTAATTTTAGTATCGGCTCTATTCCACAGATGGCGCTACAGTACGTTTTTTGTTTTCTATGTTTAGTTACCCGTTTTAACCATTGAATTCAAATATTTCCTCTGAACCGCATAGATTTTTTTTTTCCCTCTTTATTTGCCTGAATACTTTTCTCGCATATTTAGAGTCATAACCATCGTGTTTTCCTTCCTATGATTATTCAAAAGCTCACATAGATTACCCCCTTTCCAAATATCCTTTCCTCTCCATAGCCCCTAGAAAATGTTTAATAAATGTATTCCATTCTGTAAGAGTTTTCATGCTGCGACAGCTGACTGAGTGACGATTTGTAGCACACGGACATAACCACACTTACTGCGTTGACTGGAAATCCATATCGCATCATTCTGGATATGTGGACACTTCAGATTGTGAACTCATAAATTAACGGTCTTATTAAAAGTTTGCTTAAGCAACAAAATAAAAAAGCTCAGTTTTTAAGAAAATATTAACAAGATAATATAAATAAAATTAAATGTTTGATATATGATTTATATAACACCGAAAGCTTATTAAAAGTGGAATAAAATATCTTTTACCCTAAAATAAAAAAAATCGATCACCAAAATATCATAATTGAACACACTTATATGAATAAAAATTATAGCGCAACGTTTTATAACGACGGTAATTCTTGTATAAAGGTCTATTTTTATATTTTCTATACTTACATATAAACTATTAACTTCTATTTAATTTTTCGATAGGTTACTATTGATTATAATTTGGAAAAGTAAAAAATATTTATATTTATTACTCTTCCCTGTGCTTTCTCGTTTCATTGAAAACGGAATTTAACGTCGAAATAAAATATATGATTGAAACTAAATTTTAGTTAAAATGAATAATGTTTGTTAATAAATGCTTTTCTTGGAGTAGTTATTTTTTAAATATGGAAATTAATTATCCGGAAAAAGAGAATACAAATATTTATGCACGTCTCTCTCTCGGCAGTTTTACAGTGTAATGAGAAATTATAACTTTAATTGCATATTTCACCTTACTTCTTATATTAGAAAATGACATTCTCCTTAAATAATGCTGATTTCTGGAATTTCTCAGATTAATATTTTACTGCGTATCCAATATTAGACAGTTGACTCAATCTTTCTCTGGCCATTATCCTACTTTCCGACGGGCATAAAGGGAAACTGAATAAATGGAATAGGCGATCTTCAACTTAGAAGTTCAACCCCTAGAATACATGCAAGAAGCAAAGTGAGCATCTGTAGTCATACACTCAACTCGTTGTTCTTTATGCGGTCTAGCCACTTGTAATCTGAGGATACTATTGGTATTAAAGCTACATGCTACAGTTTTCTCTCTCATTAGTCAATTTTAAAATTTGTTGTGATAAGGTTTTATAGATAATAAGACTTCCAGATTTAAATAATCCTGTTTAACAATATAATTTCTTTTTATCTGTAGGCTAAGGATTAAATAATAGCGTATAAGGTATTTCTGTCGCCTTCTTAGCATTCCTTCCTAGTGTAGTGGTCTGCACGCTAGGCGCGTATTCTAGAGGTCCGTGGTTCGATTCCTGGAAAAGGCGTTCCTCATTTTTCATCACTCCTGCTTCCATAAAAATACCTAATGTCCCTATAGTGGCGCACGAACTAAAAGGGTGTTAGATGGTGATTCTCCACACCCAGGATTTGGCTATTGGGTCCCCTAAAACCCCAGTCACCCTCTAAAAGGGGGAGTATATAAGGTATTTCTTCCGCCTTCATAGTGCGGTGGTCTGCACGCTGGGTGCGTATTCCAGAGGTCCGTGGTACGATTCCCGGCAAAGGCGTTGCTCATTTTTCATCACTACTGCTTCCCCCCAAAAAATACCTAATGTCTCTACCAGCGTACAATGTAAAAAACATTTCTCACATATTTATAGTCATAATATAACATACTGAAGAAATATACTAAAGACGATAACTAACAGTAATATTAGTACACCTAAAATTCATATATGCTTTATAATCGTGTAAGTCTTTCCTTAACATCTCTCAAAAGTGTGAAAATTATTGAAAATATAGAGGAATTATGTTAATAAAGTTGGTACTTCAGCTCATTCTGATTCTACTCAGTTCGAATAATCGAGCTTTGTCTTGATATATTTTTAAATTTAATTTTAATATCAAGGAAGACTTCCAGTATTAGTTAGAAGTATAGTAACTTAGAACTTTAGTATTATTGATCAGAAAGTATTATGTTTCAGATTTTAATCACTTTAAATGCCGATATCATCGATAAAAAATTTGAAGCATAGATTTCACTCGAAAAGTAGCCTTTGATCCTTTCACTTTCTTTATCCTCTCATCTACAGGCATTTTATCTTGGGATATTTAAAATACTTTCTTTGTACGAACAACCAACACAGCTTGAAATTAATTAGATTTGGTATGTATATCATTTTTAGGATAAACTGAAGTTTTTAAAAATAGACATCATCTGCGTTTCACAGAAATCTAGATGTCTATCCTGAATTGCTTGAGAAAAATATTTTTCAAAAGTTTGTTTAAGCAGTATCGGAGCTGCGAATAAAATTTTATTGAAATAAAAAGAAGAAAAAAAATTCCATTTAGAGATCGGAATCTTTTGCCTTCACACGGATCTAAATTCTGTTCGGTATAGTATTTCCTATTCGCTTTCGATGGTGGAATATTAGAGAAAAAGCAAGAGTATTTAAATTTGCCATTCGAGGGATATATAACGTACGTGCCGCCAGCCCATGAATGCGTATCTCACTCTGTATCACGTGAATAATACATTAATCAAACGTTGCGATTGCGGTTTCCTTGGCCGAGGATAATAGAAAACGGAGGAGGAAAGCGTTTAGCAAAAATAGGATCTCAGTCATAAAATGCAGCGAGGCAGAACGGCAAAAAACTAACTACTCGTTACGTCACTTTCTGTAAAAATTTCTGAGATATGCCGTCTGCCGATTTCCTCCAATAACAGATTCTCTACGGTACGAGGAGAAAACATTGTCCCGCAAACAGGTGTGTTTGTTCAAGAAACGTGCAGAAATACAGAATCTTAAAATTCTCTTCGACTTGACATCTCTTCACTAGTTACATTTGTGAGAGTGACAGGAAAAAAAAAAGCAGCCGAACCTGCTAGCTGAAATCAGCTGAAATATTCGAATTAAAAAAATATAAAAGCTTTCTATCCATTTAAACTCAAATTTTGTTATTTTTTAACTTTCGGCCTTTGGAATGATCGCTGGGAATTTCGAAACAATGATGACACAGTGCTTGTAAAGAACAGAAGCGCGGATTGTATCTTGGCAGGCGTGCGTGGATTTTGTTGCATTACTTTTGTTTCTATTAGTTTGTGGCGTTGATCTTTTAACTGTTAACTGCACGAGATTGCATAACACATCATTGGACCTAGGCGCAAGCGGGATAATCCTGGACGGGATCAGTATACGATGCTTCACCTAGCGGAGGAAGTTCGTGAATGTTTCGTGGCTACTGAAAGTAGCACAGTTTGGCCGTCCATTTATGTTATTATCACTGATTCTAGACGAACAACAGGTACATAACTATGCTTGGTGCCAAAAGTAGAGCTTGGACAACTTTGTGCATTTATCTTCCATTATTATATTATTTCTAGATTCGTGATTAAGTGAAAGAAGTCACTGTCAACAAGTTATCTTTGATAATCCAAATTTCTAGAGTCGTTGTTATTATCTTTTAAATCTTTAATAGTTGCACCGGAAGATATATTGTCATGAAAGCTGAAAATCTTCAGCGAGTTGTCTATCTTAGATGGTAAATAAGCGTAATTTGTTATAAAAGCTAAGCGAACTTCGTTTTATTTACGAAACAACACGATTTATGGCAATGCTTAAAAGAACCGTTTCTGGCATATCCCAATGTGATAATTTTTGCAGAAAACTATGAGTCTTGAAACTATGATGCAGCGAATGAGTCAGTGCCAAGAAGCAGTTAATTTCATTTACCACTAAGCAGTCGCAAAACGTGCAGTGCCTCTGATTTATCTGCTTATTTTAAATAAGATTGTGCATATCAGAATTTTTCATTTCACTAGAAAGCTTTATTAAGACTATGCGTTTAGCTTGTTATCTGTTGACACTGTTTGTCGTGAGTCACAGTTTCTGGAGTTTCTCTGTAAGTCAGGAGACGGTCACTTCTGTATCCGTAACGATTCACCGAACATTAGTGGAAAATTCTGGACCTCAAGCGATCGATGTGATGCAATCGGAGGATGCGCCTGCTGATGAAGATTATAACGAAGAAGAAGATGATGAAGTGAATCGAGTTCCTTTGCCCCGCGACCCCCTAGCGGAGGAAAACGATAATTACGATAAAAAACATCACGTGCCGGATCACAGATTTAAACTGATATCGTTGGATAATATTGTCCATCTGAATCCTGCCCTGCAAGTGTCTTTGTGGATCTTCGTGGGATCTCTCGTCAAAGCAGGTGAGAGAATTCAATTTCCTTTATTCTCTAGGTCACTTCGAGACTGTAAATCATTTACTGGTTATACAAAATAACGGTTAAATGAGATTTATTTATTTATTCCACAAGTATAGATGGAATTCTAGCTCGAGCTTAATACTTTTTCAGTTATGCTTTTTTTCGTTTATGAAGAAAATGTGATAACGTTTGTGTCTAAAACGATATGAAGGATCATTTTAATTATTTAAAATAATTAAACAAAAACAGTTGGGAAGAATTAAATTTTGCAATCCGTCTAAGAAATTGTGGAACTGAATTAATAAATGTGTCATACATGAAGCAAACAACTTTGTCACTTCAAAAATATAGCAAATATTCAGCGGTAAATATTCTTGAATTCTCTTGTCTCATTCTTAAATGCTGTAAAAATAGTTCTTTCTAAGGTGAAATTTTCGGAAAATAAGTTATAAATATTATAATCTGGCAGATAAGGAAGAGGATTAAAAATAGCTGCATTCTTTTTTACAGTATACTACTAAACTATAGCTGTACTAGGTGAAGAGAGCTCTTATAGTTCCCTATTGTTCGGTCTTTGAATCCATAAAAGTTGGTATACGCCGCATAAATCAAGTAAAATATTCTGTTTGAATTTTACTTTAGTTGAGAAGATATTTTAAAGAAGTACGTTCAAATAGTAATCATTGTCTCTCACTATCATTCGATAGTTTCTCTGCAATCCTAAATCTTTATAGATACATTGCATTTGTGTCATACTATTTGTATAATTTCTGCCATGCGTAAATCAGGTGCTTGAATGTTTAATACAAAATAAAAATAATATGTGTATTTTTGAAAATTTATTTTATGCTTTCATACACAAAATAAATGTTTGAGGGGGCACATAATTTTTATTGCAATTTTAAAATTTTGTTTCTCAATTAGCAATGTTGCTGGAAAATACATTTAAGAAAAATTTTGCCTTAGACAAACGATGGTTTCTAAAAAAGCATATTGCTTTTAGCTAATGAAAATATTGCTTTTAGCTAATGAAAATATTGCTTTTAGCTAATGAAAATATTGCTTTTAGCTAATGAAAATATTGCTTTTAGCTAATGAAAATATTGCTTTTAGCTAATGAAAATATTGCTTTTAGCTAATGAAAATATTGCTTTTAGCTAATGAAAATATTGCTTTTAGCTAATGAAAAGCAGCTTTTAGCTAATGAAAATATTGCTTTAGCTAATGAAAATATTGCTTTTAGCTAATGAAAATATTGCTTTTAGCTAATGAAAATATTCCACAGTGTATAAATAATCCTCCCAAAAATTTTTTCTAAACTGAATATTTTTGCTGATTGAAGAAATGCGGTTTCGCAGTCGGTCTAAAATTATAAAATAAATTCAGAGTCAGTCTAAAATAAAGTGCGCGATAAATTCACAATCAGTCTAAAATCCGCATTTACAGTCAATCCGCGATAAATTCCCAGTCAGTTTAAAATTGTCTTAACTTGTACACTCTTACTGCCATATTTAACGCAAATAATATGTACTATGACGTAAGTATTTAATTAAATAAAATATTTCTGTTGACTTTATATGAACCGTATCACAATTATCCTCTCTGAATTTCCTCTCTGAAATCCCATACCCTTAATTAAGGTTCCAAAATTAGGATAAAAAAGGGGTAAGATTCATATTGAAAAATTCTGATTGCGGAGTATATGCTAATATTTTGACTTGGCAGTCGAGACGGTTTTAATTCCATTTTTATTTTCCAGTTGACGTTTGTGCCACAATCACTTTGCACTCTAGTCGTGCCTATTCAAGAATATTTACATTTTTAGTATTATTGCAACAGGAAGTAGCATAGCGAAATTACGTCCAACCAAAGCAGAGAGCGAAGCTGAAGCATGTAGTTATGCAAGATGGAAGCACACGAAGAGAAAGGTTTTGGTGTAAGTTTCAGTTCCCAGTTAATACGTCATCAGCGTGCGTTGCGCAGGCCATGTAAAAAAGAAAAATCTAGAAATGAAGCAATTCAGAGACGTTATTACGATTTTTAGAACAGAGAAGGAGAATTACAATTTTATTGTTAGTTTAAATTATAATTTTGATTTACATATTTATATATATACAATTTACGTATTTTATATTTATTATTTGCGTTACTTTTTTGTTTCCACCAATTATTTGCACTTTTCAAGTATTTATTACACCAGTGATATCATTTCTGGACTAGTGTATTTATGCAAAACTGTGCTGTTGTTGTTGTTGATAATGCTCACTTGTCTATCATTTCCTTGTAGCAAAGGCGCATATTTAGAGTGCCTCCATACCGTATGGACACTATACATTTAAAAATATCCATGCCTTCTCCGGGATTCGAACCCGGACCCTTCGGCACGGCGCTCAGTGACTGTAACCATTATACCGGATGGGCGGCATTCACAACTGTTTAGAAATTGAGAAAATAATTTTATTTTTCATTTTTGTATTAGCATACGCCAGTTTAAATATGTATTAGATTTAAATGCTTTTTACATTTACAATATGTATTTATGTGTGGTGCGTGTGTATACACTATGTATATGCGTGTCTGAACGCGTGTGTGTACGTGTATGCATTTTAAATAATAATGAAAATTTAAATTCGAAACATATTCAACTTGGAATAAAAAGCTGATAAAAATTAAATAAATTACTTTGCGAAATCAATAAACACAGTGAAAGAAAAAAACAAAAAAGCAAGTCCAGTTTTAAATCCAATTAAAAAAGTGCAAAGTTAAAATTTAAAATCACTCAATGAAGAATTCACATCTTTCGGCACATCTTCCTCAGGGGTCTGGTGTATCAACAGAAGTAAATGAATCAGCTTGTTTCTGAACTGACAAAAATGTATTAAATTTCAAAACTTCAGTTAAATACAAAACATTCTGTGCCTTCATCAATCCAATCCATACAGTTTGGAATATGAATGGCACCTTGTCTAAAAGCACACAAAACATAATTACTTCCTTGTACGCAGTAAAAATGCTTCCTTGTACGCAGTATTGTAATGGCGAAAAATTTCGGGTATCATATTTCAGCGAAAATATCCATTTTGACCTCTATCGAATGCAATTTAACGATGTTTTTGCGTGTACATAAGAACAGAATAAAGAACTCTTTTCCCCCAAACGAATTATAAAACTGATTTAAAATAGATACAGAAGAGTTTTTTTTTCCTTGGCGTCTGTATGCACGTATGTATGTATCTCCCATAATTTGAGAGATTCTGGCTTATAAGACATGAATATCTTAAGTGAAAACTTTTCCGAAAGAATTCATAAATCTTCACCGTGAACTTCGTCGTGATTACTATATTATGCGTACAACAAATGCACACTGTCTGAATCAACTTAAGATTACTCATACAGGTGGTCTGAATGCCGTCAAAAACCGTACTTTTGCACATGGAATAGCAGGAAAATACTACACCTGCGCAACAGTTTAATACGTAGATGTCTACAGAACATGGAAGCAAAGAAGGCAGCCTCTGTAAATCAAAAGCATTACGTAAAAGGACATTCTTAAAAAAGATTTAAAATTGATAATACGTTTATCCATACAGTTAAAGAGGATTAGAAGTGATTTTAACATCACAAACATCTTTTAACAGAATTGGCCACAGTTTTGAACAATTATGTTATATTACATTACGCTACATTATGTTTCAGTAACCAAATAGGTATTGCCATTGTAAGAAACCAAAAATCTTTAATTTACCTTTTATTTCGACTAATAGAATATTGTCATTTAACGTAATATGGTAAGATCTTAAATTTGTCACATAAATAATAATTGTATTTAACAAAGTGAATGCATGTCTTAATCTTTTAAATCTTTGGTTTATTTTTAATAATATATCAAATTGGAATACAGTTTAACTTTGAGTGAACAAACAGATTTCGCCTTGGCGTTTGAAATAAATTCATTATTACGAATCACATGTTCCAAATATTGCTGTTTTACGTAAAGCATCGCAATGAATCATGACCTATTCTCGTACGTCTGCTTGTATATGTAATACATCGTGATTGCTCTGCATTAATTTTGGAATAAATTACTGTCTAAATGATACAATAATCACCTTGCGATTCTCTGTTTAAAGAGGATTACAGAGGTGGACTTTTGTGTGCATTAGCTATTATTTCCCAGATTTGATGATTTCACTATGGGAAAATTTAGCTCCTATCAAAATAGCAAGTTATCACAACTGTTGCGTAGGATCAACGCTTTCAAAGCAGAAATGGCCGTCATACCATGTATTATGGAAACTACAGTTATCCCTCTGAGAGTTAGAATCTTTCATTTCCATATGGGAAAGAAAAGCTGTAAGCGTCGTGCGCAGTAATTAATCATATGCATTTATTTTTGTATGTGCCGCTTCTAACAATTTTTTACGAGTTCAATAACTGCCAGATGTCTCATTCACTGGCGGATGTTCAATTATTTTTTACCTAATTAAAACATGTATTTTTTGCCAGTGAAGTTCAAGGAAAATCATGATATTTTGATACTATGATACTTTTCAATGGCAACCGTTTTCATTCTGCTTTTGGTTTTGCGAGCATAACAGTTTGATGCCTAGATTCAGTTTTCTGAATACTTTTGATATATCGCGCTGTCTTTTGCTTTTCTAGCTGGATTATTACGCGCTAAAATGCATAATTAATAAAGTAGTATTTCTATCGCAGAATAAAAGTGTCAGAATAAGTTTGTTACGGTAGCGGAATAAATAATGAAGTGTCTGGAAAGCTTCGGAAACAGAATTCACACTAAACAGTATCGCGAAATTTTTGAAGCCTGAAATTACAACAAAAGTTTGGAAAGATATCATAGCCAAGGACATTGACTAATATTGTGATACTTATGTTAATTTTCTAATAGTTAAATTTTAGTTTTTACATTTACTTGTTATTCTGTCGTCTTTCATCTAATAACTTTTTCAGTTCAGAAGTTTCTGTTCTAATAAAATAAGTTT